AATTTTCCAGTGTTTCTTTCTCTGAATTACTTCCTTCTATCTTCTGTCTCAGTTTAGTGACAAGGGGTTAGTACTCATTAACAATTCCCACCTTGTGCTGATTTCATGAGTCAAATATACTCATTCGTTGAGAGCAATCTGTACCTACCAAGGTTACAATCTTCGAAGTTTTCCTGGTTATTTTTTTATTAAAATGGTAGTTGTGAAGCTGGTTAAGGAGGAAAGAACAGGTGTGTTTTTCAGGTTCTCATGATCTGGATCTTTCTAAATCGTACAGTAAATGGTTATGAATGAATCCAGAAGAAAACCCAAGATTTTGGGGGAGCAGTTTTAAAAATCAATGCATGTTGTTTTAACTAAATATAAAACAAAAAGATGGTCTGTTCACCTGTCCATCCAGCCCTCCCACCTGGTTATCCAGACTACAGGTTACTTGAAAGTCAAATAAAAGTAATGATCTTGATTCCCCCTCCCAATTATTATTGACAACTTAAAACAGAGAAGATACGATAAAGTGATGAAAGGAGGCAAGTATCCATTTTTCCATTCGAAATTATTCTTACTCTATATTTCATGAGAATCTTGTTCCTTTTTTACTTCTAGAGCAAAATGTGGTCTAGTACTTTTTTTGGGGGGGTCCCCCAAGGCCATCTCAGGAATCTTCTAAATCAAAATAATTTGCCATCCTAGGCTGAACAAAACATACAGTATTAAAACACTACTGAGAATCAGTAGTGGCAACGAATAGGTAAACTTTAATGTTTAATTTGGTAAATATTGATAAGCACAACCCATACAAAACCTCTTTTGAGGTACCCCATATTTTAAAAGCGGGGAGGTAAAATTTTTAAAATGTTTAAGAAACTCTGCTCTGAAGGAAAAAAAATATTTAGAACAAATAAAGAGCAAATAACTCTGGTAACAAATGGCTAATTATCAGTTGTTCTGCACTGCCTTTCTATTGCTGCTCTTAATTTAAAATAGATTTAATTTTCTTCTCTACTGTACAGTCTTCTGTAAAGTGAAATTTATGCCCGACTTTTAAGCTATTAAGCTGAAGACTATAAGTAACTACTGGAAACAGAAGATTGTTGAGAAGAAAAATGTAAGGGATACCAGTCATTTTTTAATCTGACATCCAAGCAGGAGGAAAAAAAAAGGGGGGGAGGGAAAGACACCAGTTTCCTTGTTACAAACCTACTACAGCACACAAATAATGCCCACATTTAGATTTCTAGAACATGTGTGAATATTCAAATATCCAGCATGTCTCTGAACATCTGGCACAAATTTAAGCGTGATAAAAATTGTACTTTAGCAACAGCATATGCGTCAGTGAAGCCATTTTCTTTCAAGATATTGATTGGTATAACTTACACTTCCCAATTTGATTGTTGGGATTTTTTAAAATGTGAAAATGTGGTCTGATTCTTCCCATAAAAAGGTTTATTTGTTACAGATGAGCTGTTTTCAAAATAGGGAAGAGATTTTCAAACATAAATTAGGAACGACTTGTAATCCTAGCTGGAAATGAAATACATAAAAACCTTACCTCTTAACCAACTATTGGCACAAAGTGTGTTTTCAGGAGCCTGTTTGCTGCAGCTCTACGTCTCGAAGTATATTCAGAGTAGGTATAAAATCAGCTACCATATCCAAGGTAGTTTTAGCTGCTTCTGGCACTCTGTTAAATGAAACGGTACTTTTGTTTCTTATTTGTGGGGGTTGGAAATTAAGCGTCCTTTATTGTGGACCATACTTTACTGGTCTCTTTATAAATTAGCAAAGAAGTCAGCCAATCCTGGAATTCAGAAGACAAGCCATGGTTACCCTTAGCCCCGAGGAACATTTCAGTCTGTTAAATATTAGCTTGTAATGAACTCATTAATACTTCGAATGGTAGGAGCCCAATCTTGCATTGGTCTCTTACCGAAAGTTAGTGGATCTAATGAAAGTCATTTACATGCTCATCAAAATCTTAACCACTACTGTTTTAAGTTTATAAATGACAGATGAAACAGCAACAGCATATGCCCAAGCAGTCATGTGCTACTGAAATAACTTTTATCCAGCAGTGTGAAAAAGTCCTTAAATATTCATGCTAATACATTTTATTTTTATTTTTACCCTTGAAGCAGAGAAAGGTCATTGGTAGCCATTATTCTCCAGGCTTGGTTTAGCAATGTGTAGCTGGGAATCAAAAAATGTTTGCTTCAGTAAAAATGCTATATATATATTGCAGATATGTCCAGTTGGGATAGCCAATATAATGTTAAATTCCATCTAACAGATGGATGACCATACACACTTGTTTAAAAATTAAATGAAAAATGGACAGCAATAAAGCAAATCTTGCCCCAACAATAGGACAGAATAATTATGATTGTAAATATTTCATATTTCGACTCTCATTTTATTGCTAATTGAGAGACAAAATATTACTTGAATTTTGCTGATCAAGTATACAATCAATAAATCTAGACAGTCAGGCAGCATTTAAATCATGTAATATAAAACATTAAAAATATTTGAAGGGAGACGCTAACAATTAAAAAGCAGCAGAATCCAATTTATTTTTTATGGTTGTTTCAATTAAGAGATAGGTCTACAGCCATCGTGACAGTGCTGGATATTTATAGTCTCTTTTTAGAATCACACAAATGTAAGTTTAAATCTAAAATCAGTGATCAGAAAGAGAATCACACTGCAATCTTATGCCAATTAATTCACCACTACAGTTAGTTGAGTGGCTTTGCTTACTTAGTAGGTGCACAAAAAATAATAACTATTACTCTTGTGTTGGATTTGGAAAATAGATAGCGAAGAAGGATTTCCTCTTGCGTCAATGTTTCATGTACAGGTTATTGTCACATTTGATGGTGCTTAATTCTCCTCTGACATCTCAAATTTTGTGTAAAAGAATTCTGTCTTACAATATAATGTGTGAATTGACCTAAGTGTGGTGGATTCATATCCTGAAACATAGTTCTTCAATTTAAAAAAAGTATGTGTACAAAATGTACTTAACTAGTGGCAAATCCACACAAAATCATTCTCAGTCGATTATTTACAAAAAAAGAGAGATGTTTCTAGCTCCTCCTTAAATTCTAGGTTGTTTACAATAATTGTGAAAGATTAGACAAAACATATTCAATATATGCTTGTAAAACACATATATTACTAAAATCCCATTCAGAAATCTAAGTATTTATAGGAATAAGCACAAAAATTGATATATGTTTTGTGTGTTTTTAATAGTGCTGTGCTGCCTTATGTTCATATTTCTTTCTTTCTTTTTAAATAAATTTTATTGAATAAACATTAAAAACAATTGAACACAATGAGACTTTCTTGGCCATCACTTTGGCCATACTATATTATAGAGATACACATAGCAGTTAATTTACTTTTTCCCTTATGTTATTAGTATAGTACTAGCTGCATATTATTTCTATTTACATTTATCTACAATTATATACCTATTTACAACCATCTTTTATACTCATGCATTCATATCATCTCGTATTTGTCCATTATATTCCATTCTCTTTGGTTTACAAAACTTTAACTTTCATTCCTATAAAGCGTCAACCCTTTCTTTCTTTTTCCTTGACTCTAGCCATTGATACATTTTACTCCAGGCTTCATAATACTCTGCCTCACCCTTATCTTTTATTTCTAAAGTTAGTCTGTCCATCTCTGCACAGACTAATATTTTCCTTATTATGATGTCCCTATTTCTGGCTTCATCTGAGCCTATTTTTTTGTACTACGTGTTCCTCCTGGCTTTTCTTGTAAAATTCTGGTATGGTTTAAGTGGCATTTCATTTAGACGACAGAATCACAATTCCCTCAGTTGTCATCTGTCTAGATTATAAAGCAAATGGCGCAGTATTAAATTAGAGAGATGAAGAGCGATTTGTCTGAGTTGATTGGCCTTATCTGAATGGTTCTCAGAGCACACTTTAATGAAAGTAAAGAGGGTTAAAATGAAATATTGGTTCCAACCAGAAGTGGCATTCAGCAGGTTCTGGCCAGTTCTGGAGAACCAGTAGGGGAAATTTTGAGTAGTTTGGAGAACCGGCAAATACCACTGTTGTGAATCAATAAAAGTTAATAACTTAAATGCAAATCAGGGTTTGAAAACCTGCACACTTGATTGGTACAACAACTTTGGATTAGGCCAGAACTAGTCCCTGATTGGCCACTATTTGGACTATTCTTATTGGTTATTAGTTTGAACTTGTTGCTCATCTCATTGGTTAATAAGGTAGCAGCTAACCCTATAAAAGGGTTACTGCTGCCCATAGCCTTGCTCTGTTCTGTTCTATTTACTGTTATTAAAGAGTTGAAGTCACTGGTCAGATGTCTGGTCTCCATTATTCTCCATACTTAACAACCACTTCTGACTGGCCCTGCTCCCATTTATTCCCTGCCTCCCACTGAGTCCCAGCTGATCGGCTGGGTCTTATTTGGTTGCCCTGCACAGGAGAATGGAGCTGGAAAGCAGGTTAGTGGGGTGGGGAGGGAATGGGGATTTTGCAGTATCTTTCCCCTGCTACGCCCACCAAGCCACACCCACAGAACCGGGAGTAAATTTTTTTGAATCTCACCACTGACTTAAACTATTAATCCTCCAAAGCACCTGAAGGCAAGACAAGAAGCAATGGATGGAAACTAATCGAGGAGAGAACAGACTTAGAGATGAGGATAAATTTCCTGACAGTGAGAACAATTAACAAGTAACCAGTGGAATGACTTGTCTCCAGAAGTTCTGAGTTTTTAAGAAGAGATTGGACAACCATTTGTCTGGAATGGTATAGGGGTTGGACTAGAAGACCTCTAAGAGACCTGTAAAATTCTGTTAAGTTCTGGTATTTTTTTCCTACTCATAGTGACTGATCTCTCTTCTTCCTTTTTATTCTCCAAATGAAGATCCCCCTGAAACATCTCCTAGTCAAAAAAAACAACACATCTAATGATGTAAGTGGTTTCATTGAGTTTGCCACAAAGCTTTATTTAACCAAAAAAATTCTACCGCCACAGCTTCCAAACATGGCTGTCAATTACAAATGTTTCGAATTCCACCACTTCGGGGGGGAAAAAAAGAAAAAAAATCGGGATTAAGGCAGGACACGTTTTGAGGATTTTGCTTCATGCAAGAGCATATTCAAATGTCCCTTTATCGAGCCCTTCAACTTCGCCCTCCCAGGTGGAGGAAGGCATACTGCTGTAGGGGTCCAATAAGATTTTGAAGCATCGGATGATCAAAAGTCCCAGAAAGACACAGAGGATCCCCACAAAGGCGAAACCGGTTTTCTGCTCCAGGGTCAGCGGGAAACTGGACACCTCGTTGACGCTCATGGTCACTGAGGCGTTGTTGCAATAGCTACTGCTCATCTCTGGGCCTCACATTCTGCTGATTCAGGATTCGCACTTCATCTGTAACAAAACACAAGGAGAGAACAGAGACCGTTTTGGATCTGAGGAAGGGGTCTCGGATGTCTAGCCATCCCCGCCCAGCATCCAAGGATAGGAGGGACAGGCCAGTTTTGAGGGGATTCAATCGATGGTCTCTTCGGGTTGGATTTATGAGAGGGTGACAGGCATGGGTTCACAAAATGGCTGCCAAGATGTCTATAATTGGACATCTCGACATCCCTCAGACACAGCAACATCTCCTGGGTGACTTCTCTTGACCCTTATGACTTCTTGATGTGGCCCAAATGTTAGCATCAACTCATAAAATATTTATCTGGTCTTTTTAGAGTTGCCAACAGAAAGGGAGGGAGGAGCAGTGCAGCAGCTTGCAAACCGAAAGTGCATTCCATAAATGTTTTCAAAGATAGTAACTAGGTGACCGAAGTTTCTGCCACGCAAAATTCTAACTGGACAGCATGATTGATGACTCTTGGCTATGGATGTGTCCCATTGGAGAATATGAATTATGATACACCCAGAGGGATGGGGGAAAACCAGGGTCAAGGGTGACAATGAATTATGTGTCTCCGAGTCAGCTACACCTAGGCAGTGCCGGCCATTTTAACTCCCAATAAATCCTTTTGAAGTTTTGGAAGTTTGGCTCGAGACTCATGATTTAAATGGGGTTAAGTGCTGGAATCCTGACAGTTAGTTTTATTGAGAGGATGATGCAGATGGGCTAAAAAACAGCTGCCAAGATGTCTGTGATCGGACATCTCGACATCCCTCAGACACAGCAATATCTGGATGACTTCTCTTGACCCTTCTGAGTTCTTGGTGTGGCCCAAAGGCATTCTGGGAAACAACTATGAAGGTAGAGACTGTTGCTTTATTTTGCAGTATACCAGCTTCCTTTTTTTTTTTTTAACAAGCCAGATGAGGCAGGAAGTCCAGGAGACACCAAGGAAGGTATCTGAGGATCCATTATACCTCCAAGCCCATCTTGCCTTCCCCCATGTTACAGCAACTCTGCACTTTCCACCCATTTGTTCAAATTCTTCATTCCAACTTGTCTGAAGGAAGCTGACATATCTCCTCTTAATTTATCCTCCCTCAAGTGCCTCCCAGATATACTGGTTTCCCTTTCTTGTATGGCAACCGAAGCGCCTCTGTCTTATCAACTACTACCCTATTCATTTCCTATATCAAAATTGCATATAAATGCTAATACGGAATGGCATAACCCATGATTAATCTATGACAGCTGCGGTGATGGAATTTGGCACTTAAGCACTGGTTGAGACCCAGCTTCAGAGTAAACTTGATCTATTGGTGGCAGCTTATTATGAGCTGCCTTCATCCCTACAATAATTTCATTCCTGCAATAATTTTGCTAATCAAAATCCTCTACTGGATTTGTGCCTTAAGAAGGTGCTAAGTTTGCCCTGCATTTCTGCCTACTTTTTTCCTAGAGTCCTGCTTTACTTTTCATTTCATCCCAAATGGGGCTCAATTCTACTGATTCCTATCAAAAAATCCTCCTCTTCCTCCTCCTCATTTTTTTTCTTAATAATTCTTCCTTCAAGAATTGAAAGGAACAGCATATTTGTTTTTAGCTGATGAGCTAGGAGTCCCAGTTAAATGCAGTGATTAAGGCATCTCTAAAGGTTGATATAAGACATAAGACATAAGAATTTATTTGTCATTACACTCGCTAGCGGGTGCAATGAAATGAGGTGCTCTTCCACAAAGTAAATAAGTGCTACCTGATGCATTCACATAAGGCACAATTCCAGAGTTTCCTGAAGTTTGAGCAGCTGTAGAGACATAAGAAAGAAAAAAAGAAATAGTGAGTTTTTCGGGTTAGGATAGCATTCTTTAAAGTACTGAGCTGAATTCCAGATAAGAATTGCATGTACAAAATCAATCAACTGTTTATGACTTTATCATTATATTCAACCCACATACCTGTGTCCTTTCCCTTCCTTTCTCTTCCTTGCCTGCCCTTCCCTTCCCTTCCCTTTCCTCCTCTCCTCTCCTCACCTCTCCTCACCTCACCTCTCACCTCACCTCACCTCTCACCTCACCTCACCTCTTTCCTGCTATTCTTCTAACCAGTTTGGTCTCCATGTTCATCTAAACCAATACTGTAGTCCCCAACCTTGACTACTTTTTAACACATGCGGACTTCCAAATCCCAAAATTCTCATGGCTGGCTGGAGGATTGTGAGAGTTGACGTCTACATATCTTAAAAGTTGCCAAGGTACTGATATAAACCTTTTAGCTGACATGTTTTTCTTCCTTCTGCTTTTCAAGTACCATAGCTTCAAACCCTTGGTGGCCAGGCTTATATGACCCAGGGGGATTCAGCAAGCTGTCAATTCCGAGATGGTAGAATATTCTGGGCAAGTTTCCAGGTGCCACCTGCTGTATATTTTTTACAGCCAATTTTCAGGTGGCCTTTCTCGGAACCTCCATTTCTTTCCCCTGCCTTCGTGGATTCAGAATTTTCCTTTTTAGCTGCATTCCTTTCTCAAGATGATTTCAATTGGAATAAGCTGAAGAGTCAAGACCTTGTTGATGATCCAAACTCTGTCACAGACCTTGGAGTACTCATCTCTAATGATCTAAGTGCTAGAGCCCACTATAACTACATAGCCAAAAAGGCATTAAGAATTGTTAACCTAATCCTACGTAGCTTTTTCTCTGGTAATATCACACTACTAACTAGGGCATACAAAACATTTGCTAGACCAATATAGCTCATCAGTCTGGAACCCGCATTATGTATCTGATATTAATACAGTTGAGAATTTCACAAGACGAGTTCTCCACTCCTCTACTCGTTGCAGAATACCTTATGCCACCAGACTTGAAATTCTAGACCTAGAAAATCTAGAACTAGATTTTCGGTCCGATCTAAGTATAGTATACAAAATTATATATTTCAATGTCCTACCTGTCAATGAATACTTCAGCTTCAACCATAACAACACAAGAGCACACAATAGATACAAACTCAAGGTTAACCGCACCAAACTTGATTGCAGGAAATACGACTTCAGCAACAGAGTGGTCAATGTCTGGAATACTCTACCTGACTCTGTGGTTTCTTTCCCAAACCCCAAAAACTTTAACTTTAGACTGTCTACTATTGACCTCACCCCTTTCCTAAGAGGTCTGTAGCGGGCGTGCATAAGCGCACCAATGTGCCTACCGTCCCTGTCCTATTGTTTCTTCTTATTTTCTTATATGTATCCATTTCATGTATTCATAACTATGTTTATACTTATGCCTGTTATCTTATAATCGCTTGACAAAATAAATAAATAAATAAATTGGAATAATCCAGTCCAAATATCAATATCACGGTTTTCCACAGTGTTTCCCCACCCCCCTCTGAAAAATCATAAACCAGCATAATGATCTGAGCCCCGACCTTCCTTGGTCATCAGGTTATGGTTAACTGTGTCTTTGTCTTGAGAGGTTAGATTTACAGGGCTCTTCAAACTTGACAGCTTTAAGACTTGTGGACTTCAACTCCCAGAATTCCTCCTCTAGTCATGTTAGCTCAGGAATTCTGGGAGTTGAAGTCCACAAGTCTTAAACTTGCCATGTTTGAAGACCCTTGGGTTAGAAAAAGAGGTTCAGAGAAACTAGACTGTAGTAAAGGTTTTACTGAGGGATTGCTGCTGTTTTCCACATGGTAGTCAGGGATTCTCTGTGTTGGTAACACACGCACACACACACACACACACACACACTGACTTTGGAGGAGGACTTTTAGAAGTTCTCCATCTCTTCTGACCAAACATTATCACTCTAGTTCAGAGTTTCACCTGTTGCTCCATTGTCATCTCGTTCAGTTTATTGCTTAATAATTAGATTTTCTTTATTTAAAAAAAAAATGTTGGAAGTATCCAATTTTGGACTTTTTCCCTACCATAGACTAACCCTGCAACTCCTTTTTCTGAAAGAGAAAGTAAGTTTAAAAGATATGGAAGTATTTCATTCTGACTTGTCTCATATTTCATTATTACTGGAGTTTGGAAGAGTGGTTTCGAAATGAAAATTGTCTGTCCGTGAAGGTCAACAGCAGCCTGTACTTCTCGCTTCAGTTCATCTGTGTATTATATGGCATGATTAAAAAACCAACTGGACATTTTGAGAGAACAAAACATGCGCGCACACCTTCCCCCCCCCTTTCGCGGAAGCAGTGAACGGGTGAAAATTGCAGTTCAGCCATCAAGTCATAGATTTCAATTCTTCAGCCTTACTATTATTCTAGGACGTGCAATTGCAACATGGAACATTACGCTCCTTGCCAGGTTTGGTAAAGATTTCAGTGGTTCATTAATGAAGAGAGGAATACATAGGAAAAATGCTGTATGGAATATCTTGTTTATTTATAAATTAATGGAATTGGATAGGATAGTGAATAGATTAGTCCTATTAATTTTTAATAGTCAATTTTTCATATGCTTATTATCAGATTTTTATGCCACCCTTTAATTTTCTTGAAAATACCATCTCTCTCCTATCTATCTATCTATCTATCTATCTCTATCTATCTATCTATCTATCTATCTATCTATCATCTATCAATCTATCTATCTATCTATCTATCTATCTATCTATCTATCTATCTATCTATCATCTATCTATCATCTATCTATCTATCTATCTATCTATCTATCTATCTATCTATCTATCTATCTATCTATCTATCCTTTTAATGATCCCAAATCCCTTGTGGGGTGGAGCCTGGGCAACTGAATGGAGCTGAGTGTTTCCTGGCCGGATGCCTTTCCTGTCACCAGTGTGGAGTTATATTCAGCAGATATATTCTCAACCTGCCCAGAGAGAGAAATATCTGCTTTTACCTAGGATCAAACTCATAGCCTCCTGATTGTGAGGCGAGAGCTTCACTTCTAGGTCACCACACCACCCATCATCATCATCTTCATCATCATCTATTCTCTCTCCCCTTCCCCCCCTCTCTTCGCCCCTCCTCTCTCTGAAACCGATGAACATACCTACTCCAGCCTCCTATTTTCCCCACAACAGCCCTGTGAAGCGTGTTGGACAGAGAGAGCAACTGGCTCTAAGTTACCCTACTGACTTTCATGCCTAAGAACTCGTGGTCTCCTTAAATTGAAACATACAGAGCTACTGTGCTATGATGCACACAGCACACACTTTCAAGGCCCAAAGGCCAAGCCTGGTTAGTTGGATAGGAACCCCACTAAATACAGGGGGAAATACACAAAACTGTAAAGCCCGAGCATGGACACACTCGGACAGGTAGGATTCTTCGCCACAATTCCGGACAGTCCAAGCAAGGCACTTCCTGGTGAGCAAACCATGTTTTCCCAATAGCAGAGCACTGGGCTTGCAAGGGACGCTGGGAAAATGCACTATTTGCCACAACCAAAAAGATGCTAACATAGAAATGGCGTTTTGCTTTACCGCAAGAAATGAACAACAATTCTCCACCTATTGCATGGAATGAATTAGCATTGTTTCTCTGAAGAAGAGTTCAGATCCAACACTGCCTACCTTCTCTGTTGTGTTTCCTGTGGTTACGCTGTAAATAGCCACTGTGTCTTTTAAGGAAATCCACTAAGTGGCTATTGTGTTGTATGTTCTAAGCAGCGGAAATCTCCTTTGAGCTCAGGCCAATTTTGACATTTCCAATCAGGCCATATTTGTATTGTTTTCACAAATACCATTCCCAAAATGATTTGGAATTGCCCCCTTTCAGGAGGATCTTCAATTTCTCAATTTATTTACAGCGCTGGAATTTTCAGAGGTCTCCCTTCCAAGATATAACCAAACCTGGTCCTGCTTAGCTTCTGAGCCAAGACAATGTCAACCTGATACCAACTCTTGTGTTTGTTCACCCAACACCTCACAAAAGACTATAGAAAACCATATATTAACAGGAAGCAATTCCTGAACCTTAATTTCATGAATTCCCCCCCACCCACCCACCCAGTATTCTTCGAGATGGTTATGCCCTAAAACCATATCATTTGTACCGAGCCTGGACTTCAGCCTAAATAGGCGGTTTATGAATTACACCAGTGGATGCAATATCACAACAAGCATGCAAAGGCAGGGGGGGAAAATACCCCACAAACCAACCAATTGTTGATTCCCAACTTCAACCGATTCCCTCCTGGGATATGGAGGACTCTCTCTCCCCAATGCTGCAGTTGTCACTGCACCCACATTGAGGGTGGGGGGGATTTGTTTTCCAGTAACCCTGGCGAGGGGACGGGTGGTTAAATAGACCGGTAGCTCCAAGCAGCTGGCATTGTAAATGGCAAATGTTTACATGAGCTAAACCCGGAGCGCTGGGGATCTGCTGTGTGCAGAAGTGCACCAACCGTCCCTGCCCTGTTGTTTCTTTCTATTTTACTTCTTTGTATCCGTTTCATGTTATGTATTCATAGCTATGTTTATACTTACGCCTGTAATCTTATAATCGCTTGACAAAATAAAATAAAATAAATAATGGTAAATGGATCCTTCCCCCTTCCCTCCCTCCCTCCCTTCTTCAGCACTGCTGCCATAGTCTTACCTGGTCCTAACCAGAGAGAAGCGATAAAGGAGGAAAAACAACCACGATGCAGCCCGAAAAAACCCAGACAAGCCAGCAAACCAAGGTCCGGCCATCCTGTTGCTGTGGAGCCAAGGCTCCGACCAACGATCCCCAAGCCGACCAACCAGCCTTCCTTCTTCCTGGCCCATCAGGCTCTCCAGCCCCTCCCTCCCTCCAAGCCCCCCACCCCACCTTTCCCAGGCCACTCACCCCAGTTCCAGCCAGGCATCCTGAGCGCACAGAGACCCCCCTCGCCGCCGCCGCCTCCCACGGTCGAAGTTTCAAGGTCTCTCCGGTCGCTCCGGCTGCCACCTGCCAAGCAAAGGCCGGCTCTCGGCTCACCCCCGCCCAGCCGCCAGACCATCCTCGGGGTTCATCTTCAACCAAGGCATCCCCCTCCCTCCTTTCTCCCGAGAGGCTGGGCTCCCGCGGCTGCTACGGGCGTGCCTTCCACCGGGTGCCACGCGTGTTTGCGCCAGGGTGGGGTTCTCCCCGCTCGGCCAAAGGCGAAGGGCCGAGGGGTGGGTGGGTGGGTGTCTGGATTTGGGGTGATAGAGGAGGGGGTGGGTGGGCTGTGGGGGGTGGGTGGGGGCGAGGTGAAGGCGAGACGCCCCCTTCCTCTTTTCTCCCCAGCCCCGCTTTGGGACGCTGCGCCCAGCCTCCTTCCCAAATGATTCGGGTTGGGTCCGAAGGCGCGTGGAAAGTTCCTGCCGGAGGCTACGTGCGAGGCATTCCCAAATTCTCTGCAGCGGAGGCGGCTGGCCTGCTGGCCGGATCGCTCCTCGCGAAGCTGGGTTGGTCTGAGAGCCCAGATGCCAAGCAGCCCCAACCCCAAGCCCCAACCCTTCCTGCCTGCTTCCCTCGGAAACGAAACGCCCCTCGGTCTTATTGATTTCATTTATTGGATTCGTGGGGTGGGGGGTCTCGAACCGGCCGAGGGAGCTCCGCCTTTTATTGGGGCTGCCAAGCCAAGAAGGGGCGGGAGGGGGCTTTGGCAGGGAGTCACCAGGGGGTTACGAAGGGAGGGTCGAATGGGCTCGGATTACTGTCAGAAATGGTGTAGGGTCTCCTGCTTGGGCAGGGGGTTGGACTAGATCAGGGGGTCGCCAACCTTTTGGACCTCAGGGACCACCAAACTCATAATTTAGGTCCCAGGGACCATTAACTGGTTCTGTGTGGGTGTGGCCTGATTTGTGGGTGTGGCTTGGTGGTCATGTGACTGGCTGGGCATGGCTTGTATGTAAATATTATAAATATTTATATAAATATTGAATTTTTTTTATAAAAAAAGAGCAACTTTTATCCAAAATCAGACAAAGCAGGCAGGCAGATTGAGTTGCTCACAGAATCACAGATTCATTCAGAGATCTATCTATCTGCCATCGGCTAGCTCAGTCTGTCACATAAAATTTGCTTGCAAGCAAACTCATAAAATTAACTGACAACACACCAGGTATGTAACTATTGAATTTTTTATAAAAAAAGAGCAACTTTTACCCAAAATCAGGCAAAGCATGCAGGCAGATTGAGTTGCTCACAGAATCATTCAGTGATCTCTCTGTCTGCCATCAGCTACCTCAGTCTCTCAAATTTGCTTGCCGAATTTGCTTGCAAGCAAACCTTCAGTCCTAAGGGAGGTTCGGCTGTACTTAAAAGCAGAGCCGAAGATCTAAAGACTAGCTAGACAGGAATAAATCCAATCATTTCCTGCTTCCTAGCTAATCTAAATCTCCCAGCACAGCAGAACAGATGATGGTTGGAAAAAGGAAAAATAGCAATTTAGCAGGCAAGTTTACCGGGTAAGGAGTGAGTGGGTGGGGAGGGTTCCCGCGGGCCATGTGGGCGGCACAGCCTTATGTTTCTGTGCAGTCTGGATTAATTGCTTGGAGGGTGGTGGTCTGGGGGTGAGATTTCTCTGCGGCCCACCAAAATTTTCTATCGGCCCACCAGTGGGCTGCGGCCCACCAGTTGACAACTGCTGGACTAGATGACCTACAAGGTCCCTTCCAACTCTGAACATCTCTTATCTGTTACTACTCAGTGCTGGGAGTGGTCAAGCTGGCTTTTGAACCCACCTGGGCTTCTCTCCAGGTAGCCCTCCCCTTACAACGGTTTTGTGGGAAGCCACCCTACCCCAGAAGAATGAAATATTTGAGGAACTATTCAAAAAAGGCACAATATTATATTTGCCTAATGGAAAAAGTGGGGGAAAGGAGGCAGAAACCAACCCTCCCTGCCCTCAAGCAGAAACTGAGGAGGCCAGCTTTTAGAAAAAGGCAGATTTGGTAATCCATTCAAGACAGGATATAGTGGAATCTCTGGTCACCAACGCTTCTGACAATGACCAAATCGGGTTCCCACCAAAAAATCCACAATGTTTTGTAATCGGGTCACCATTCAAAAATTGGGTGGTGACCAAACACAGCCACAGCCAATTCACTTCCATGCCGATTTCTCCTTCTGCGCCATTTTGTTTTTTGTAGGCACATGGGCAGACTGTCTCGCTTCTGGGTCATGACCAAATCGGGTTGCAACCGAAGTTGTGAAATGAATTATGGTTGTGACCGGAGGTTCCACTGAATTTCAAAAACCCTCACAGCAGAGGCGGTCTTCAGCCAGTTCTAACCAGTTCTGGAGAACCGGTAGCGGAAATTTTGAGTAGTTCAGAGAACCGGCCAATACTACCTCCAACTGGCCCCGCCAACCCCATCTCTTCTCTGCCTCCCATTGAGTCCTAGCTGATCAGCTGGGTCTTCTTTGGTTGCCCTGCACCGGAGAACGGAGCTGGAAAGCAGGTTAGCGGGATGGGGAGGGAATGGGGATTTGGCAGTATCCTTCCCCTGCCATGCCCACCAAACCATGCTACGCCCACCAAGCCTCACCATGCCCACCAAGCCACACCCACAGAACCAGCAGTAAAAATGTTTGAATCCCACCACTGCCTTGCAGCAAAGTTTGACAGTTAACATAAAGGCAGAATGGTAGGATTAGAACCATCAGCCCCCTCACCCAAGATCCAACACAGGACAAAAGCCATTAGCCACAGTAGGAATTGCCCAATGACCTTTCAGAACACAAAACCCTTCATTGCGCGTGCACACACACACACACACAGACAGAACAATCCAAACTTCGAAGTCACAGAACTTGCTCCCAGATGTTGTGAATGCTCCAACACTGGACGTTTTTAAAAAGATGTTGGATAACCATTTGTCTGAAGTGGGATAGGGTTTCCTGCCTAGGCAGGGGGTTGGACTAGAAGACCTCCAAGGTCCCTTCCAACTGTTCTATTCTATTCTATTCTATTCTATTCTATTCTATTCTATTCTAATCTACTCTACTCTACTCTACTCTACTCTACTCTACTCTACTCTACTCTATTCCTATCAAGATCCATCCATTCATCCAACCGTTTTGTTCAGCTGACCCAGAACCGCTTTTGATTCTGTTCATCATTAAACTTTCTTTCCAATCAGCCTGCATGTTGTTTCCAGCATCTGTCTTCCGGTTTGGAACTTGAACCAGATGGATTTTCCTTCCAATGGTTTGTTTAGCAGCCAAAGTTAAATGCCACTGAAAAAAAATGACTGCTGATCCTTTTTCCACACTTACATTGCAGCATCCCCGTGGTCACGTGATCAAAATTCATCCCCTTGGCAACCGACTCATATTTATGGTGGCTGCAGGGGCCCAGGAATCCTGTGATTCCCCTTTTGCGACGTCCTGACCCAGCAAAGTCAATGGGGAAGCTAGATTCACTTAAGGACCGTGTTACTCACTTAATGGCTGCATCAATGCACTTAACAATGGTGCAAGAAAGGTTGTAAAAGGGGGTAAAAAATTGACCTAACCACTGTCTTGCTTAGCAACAGAAATTTCGGGCTCTGTTGTGGTCGTAAGCCAAGGACTACCTGCAGCTCGACGTGAACGGGCGTATCAGGTAGGTACCAACGCCCATTCCCATGCAAAGTTTGATAGCAAAGCTTCTAGGTTGGATTCTGACATTCCAATCCTGGATGCAGCTGAGGTGCTGGCAGTGTTTGACCGATGCTGGGTCAAATCTTTCCTTCATCTCCTTCCAATGGACGTTGTTTTCCTGCTTCCATGCACAAAGACAAATTCCTTGTGTGTCTAATCACGCTTGGCCAATAAAGAATTCATTCGTTCATTCTTTTCCTCTCAGGCCTGCTTCCTTCCAGGAATTTAGGAGAAGAATGTGCCTTTGCCAAGAAGGAACAACATTCCCATAAAAGACCTGCGTTTCAGCTTATTTTGACATTGCCGTGGCCAAGGAATCACTATGGAGAGCTGAACAAAGAGCCAAATTAGACTTCATTGAGCCAATTGTTGACTTGGGTTTAACCCTCAGATTGGGCTTGAAACCACTACCCAATTTCCAGAGGGGCCTAGTAGTTAAAGCACCTCTTGGGGACCAATTTGGGGGTACTGCCAATGTCCCGGATGAAATAAAAGATCTGGACTTTGTTTCTATGGAGATTCTCAATCATCTAGGACATGGTTGTCCCAAAGGTGCTTTTTTCAAGAGGCCATTGGACTTTCTGGTTTTTCTTTGAAGAGGTTTCTCTTCTCATCTAAGAAGCTTCTTCAACTCTGGTCCAAAGGACCTAGCTAAATGTCTATGAAGATTCTTAATCCAGGTCATGATTGTCCCAAAGGTGTTTTTTCAAGAGGCCACTGGACTTTCTGGTTTTTCTTTGAAGAGGTCTCGCTTCTCATCCAAGAAGCTTCTTCAGCTCTGATTGAATGGTGGAGAATTTATTTAGGTCACAACTGAAGAAGCTTCTTGGATGAGAAGCGAGACCTCTTCAAAGAAAAACCAGAAAGTCCACTAACGTCTTCAAAAAAAAACAAAAAACAACCCCAGAAAGCAGAATTGCCTCTTGAAAAAGCACCATTGGGTTTCCTTGAAGACGTTTCGATTCATATCCAAGAAGCTTCTTCAGCTCTGAAGAAGCTTCTTGGATAAGAAGCAAAATGTCTTCAAACAAAAGCAAAACCTCAAGAAAGTCCAGTTACCTTTTTGAAAAGCAGCTTGGGAACATCTGGCCTTTGGGCTTCATCTGCTACTCATTGTGTGCATCAACTGAGCAATAGAACTGGAAAGGGTGATTCAAACAAATAATTCCACTCCTTGTAGACCTTTCCATTAATTTGGTATTTGTGGGCAAATAGTATAGAGATTTTTTTTAATATTTAGGTGCTGATAGCTAAAGGTTTTTTTTTTTTTAAACCAGAGCGGAATCAAATTGATCATGGTCTACTTATCAGCATAATGTGTACCTCTGTTGTTCCTGTTTGATGAACATTTACAATGTTCTCTGATCCTTAGAAAATAACTCATCAATAAAAGGAGGAAAATTTCTGACTC